AACCCCCCCTACCGTCACTCAACCACACACGCACATATACACACACATACATGCACACACGCACATACATACAAACACACACACACACACACACACACACACACACACACACACATATATATATATATATACACACATACACACACACACACATAAACACACACACACACACACACACATACATATATATATATATACACACACACACACACACATATATATATATGAATGTACAAATACATACATACATATATGAATATATATATATATATATATATATATATATATATGTTGTTGTTTGTTGTAGATTTGAAACCGTTGTACCATATATAAACTAAGTAGGATGGATGTACATTAGGAATCTTTACGACAACCGCAAAACGCGCAAAGGTATGGCAGTGATTTTACACAGTAGTATCTGTAGTTTGGCTAAGCGAAAAGAATTAGATCGTACATAGCTCTATTACACTTCTAATATTCATTTAATAATACTCATTAAATATGTATACCAGTATACATGTTTATGTGTCTGCTTTCATATATATAGAGTCACTCGGCTAAACGTGTGTGGCAAGGGAGCTGCCACATGCTACAACGTTAATCTAATACTCTGTGAATAAACCTGTTTGTGTGAGTCAAACTACCGTCTAAGAACCGCTCAGTTTACTACACAACCATTCAACTATGAACATGCAATGCAATTTAGGTGTACACATGCCTGTATCTTGGCTATAAATGTGCCGATAAAGTCGATCTGTTTATTCATGTGCGACTGCCATGGCTCAAGCTACAGAATTGTCCATACCGGTTTTGTGTATGACGAAGTACGCGTTGACTTGTCAACGTGTATGCACGTTTACAATCGCATCTGAATTGTTGCTTAGCGCGAAAAACGTGCAGGTATCAATGTGACGATACTATACGACAGTATTTCCTGACAGAAGTCACGAACTGTATCGCACAATATGAACATACGAACAATAGTACCGAACATAAGAACAAAGGTCGATAATAACTCGCTCACGTGCGCAGCACTCCAGCATCCCCACGCACCCAAGTGGCGCCGAAGCCGAAGAAAACATCTGTAGGCGTACACAGTAGCAGCACCGGGTCGGCAGGTGGAGCAGTGGCACACTTAAATGAGGGTATGACATAAACAAGTACTGACATAAAACAAGTACTGACATAAACAAGTACTGAGGGCTGTATGTATTGGGAGTTATGGTCATTCCATTATTAAGAGAGCATAAAATATTAATTTGAAAACATATGTTGTCTGGACGTTTCTCTGTGTATCGAAAGAACTTGTTTACCTTCGTTGTCGAACTCGATCTGTCTTGTGACGTGCTCAAATTAGAGTTTAAAATGGACTCCAAATAGCCATCATTCTCCACATAGCCATCGTTCTCCAAGTATGGCATTTTATTATTGTTCTTATGTGAAGAAGTCATTTTATTGCGCGAAGCAGATACGGGCGAGAATCCTTTATTACTGAAGAGTTCTTTCACAATTACCACAATAAAATGTTGTAGCAAAATAGCAACCTCTCTCTGTGTGTATGTATGCATATATGTATGTAGGTATGTATGTATGTATATATGTATGTATGTATATATGCATGCATGTATATATGTATGTATACATACATGCGTGCATGTATGTATGTATGTATGTATGGTATGTATGTATGTATGTATGTATGTCTGGTATGTATGTATGTATGTATGTATGTATGTATTGTATTGTATTGCATTTCCATTCGTTCATTAGACCTACTCGTGATGTGCAGCGGCTGAGGATGAGGTGGTCAGTCAGAACAACATCACCTACGAAGACACAACAACCGCCAACTCGCTGTCAAGTGCGCAATCCAACCGAAATAATGGGCAAATATTTGCGGTATTTATCGGGGACAGCAATGACCGAAACTCAGTTCAGGTGCGTGAGGGGATGGGTGTCCTGTCTGTGTTGGTATGTGTGTGCTTAGGTGAGTAATTGGTAGTAGAAATCGACATGTCAACAGTGACAGACACAAAATCGTGTTCGGAGATGGTAGTGTTTGTTCGCTGTACCGCTACCAGGACTAGCTGCCACTACAAAGCACACTCTAGTCGGTTTTGTCAACTGGTGCACGGTTACTTCTTCAACGGGAATCAACCAATGTAGACAGCTACCGAAACATTCAGTCCCAATACGTAACTGTTATCTCAAAAAGCACCGTATCAGTGCACGCATGTAATGACTTTAGAGTGAAGCGAATCTAGGTCTTGTGGCGGCGCTGTATCTACTTGATGTCTCGGAAACTAAGTTTTAAAGTTTGCAGATAGTACTACATATATCATAATGAACGTAATCGCCCACTAAAGCATGTTTCCTCCAGCTCCACCAATCGAGTGGAAAACTAAGTGCGAGAACACGTCAAGTACTACTTCTGTTTACAGCTGCCTATATTTGAATGTCCAAGGGCATTGCATGGCACCATACATAGGTGTTTACGCATACTTCAACTAAGTTATATTCCCACGTCGGTCTGTTCAGAATGTGACACCCACCCACCCACTACCCATTACACTCCCTCGTCTCAGGCGTTCTGTAAAAATGTGCTTAAGGCCAACATGCAGAAGGGCAAGCCTCGCACCGTGCTGAAGCAAGCAGTCAAGACGGCGTACGATGTTGCGGTGCGGTATGTTGTGCGTATGGCATTACAAATCAACTACCAATACACAAAGCTCTGTACAACGCCTCCACACACACGCGCTAACGGTGCACCTTTTCGTCTTCCATGGATATAACTTTTCTGGTCGCTCGTCTTGCTTGCGTGTCGGTTTATGTATCTCTCGAACCTGATTGGATCACACACCTTAGGTAAATAAGTCTGGTTTGATTGGATCACAGACCTTTGGTATATAGGTCTTGGTTTGATTGGATCACACACCCTAGGTAAAGAAGTCTGGCTTGTCCCGTTGTCAAAGTGTACTATGAAACGGGGGTCTAACTAAAACCGCGGGGTACCCTCCAATGGCCAAACTCCGCCGCGCTAAGCCGTGACACTATAGTATATTTTGTGATTATTAAACCCGTGCTCAGTTTTGTGTACGTGTTGGATTCGCTCATTGTCACCCTTTAAAACAGCGCTGCTAGAGCGAGTGCCGATAACTCGATGGCATATTCCATACCCGGATCAATTGAAAAGGTTCTAAGTCGGGTGGAGGTCAACTACTGCAAAACTCCAAAGATGATACTGGCTTATATCTTCAATCGGTATGTTCGTGTGTGTGTTCATATAACATGTGATTCGGATGCATGTATAGCTTATCTGCATTTGTAAACACTCAGGAATTCGTGTTGGTGTCCAATTTCTTTGGAATAATGTTTCAGGAATATACGCAAATCTCGGATCAGAAACACACTTTAAGCACACACAACAACTCAGAATTGTACAAGAAATGTAGCAACGACTAGGGTAGAGCACAGCTAACGCACTCGCAGTATCTACTGTTAGGATCCCTGATACCATAGAGTCACGTGAGCGATTCTTCAAGGAATATATCGTTCTTTATAAGGGTCTTATGCGTTCATTATTGTTTGTTTTGTTCAGCGTATTGGATAAAGTTTCACCTGTTGCTTGCTCTACAAACACGCTCGTATCTTAGTCTCAACTACTACTTCGGTTGGAGTACGATCTCTAAATTCCCATGCCACCAAAATCTGCACCAATAGCACTATATATATACGTATATTAAACCGTCTTCTATTGGCCAGCAGATTCGCAATGCACCCCATTGGTCCGTGGCATGGGTTCGACAAAGATGTGCGTATGGTGGGCAGTGGCTGGCGCGATTCTGATCCCAGTGAGGCCCATTCACTACTCATCAGACCAGTGATTTCTGCATTGGTACGCACCGTGGGGTATGTGTTTCAAGCGTAATTTATGAAGGCCTATATCAGGGAGTTGTATTACGTATACTAGAGATACATGATTATAACTACACTGTCAGTCGATAGATATGGGATGTAGGTTTCCAAGCGCAGACAAGCAAACAAACAAACGTGATAGTTGGCCAGGACAGTACCAATTGCCAGTGTAAATAATAAACAAGCCATATGTTTAGGGAAAAGGGTCTCAATCGCCTGGAACTATCCTCTGTAGTACATGCCGCACATACATACGCATATCCTTGTGTAGTATTGTGTGAATGCGAGCTACAGCACAGGTATGCCATAATCATCTTCGATCTCATTCATGTGTGCGTCTGGAATGTACATAGCCCGTGCTTGTGTGCGCGCACAATCCGAAACTACCCTCCGAGCATACAAATCGATACTTAAACTAGTTCACACTATTTCATACTAATTCATACTAATTCATACTAATTCATACTAATTCATACTAATTGATACTAATTAATACTAATTCATACTAATTCATACTAATTCATACTAATTCATACTAATTCATACTAATCCATACTAATTAATATTAATTCATACTAATTCATACTAATTCATACTAGTTCATACTATTTCATACTAATGGAGATGATACTTATACCAATCTTGGCCATCAGGAAAGGAGTGCCTGATTTGGTGAGTGTGGCATCGAATTTTTGGGATCACGCACGAGCGTTCGATTATCTGAGCCGACAGACCTCCTCGAACGCAGCATACTGGCGCGACACCTTCATACCAGAGTACTCCAGGAATTTAACCTCCTTTGTTTCAGTTGTAAGGAACGAGATTGGCAAAATCAGGTGTGTATTTATTGATATCAAACAATTAGGAGACCTAGATCACCCCATTGTCAAGGCTACAACGAGTGAGAGTTTTGGATTCGGGTGTGTGTTTCAGCCCAAGCTACACAAAAGGTCAAAAGCTGTCCAGATACAAATCACGATAACATTTTATCCCCGCTTTAGGCAGCCTATCTCACGATTTAAGAAGCTCTCGATGACAATTTAACACCCGTCGCATATAAAAAAGTACCTTAATATTCGCATTTGTATATATACGTCCACGTTTGGGACTGTATGTGTGTGACAATATCGTAGTTAGCAATTTGTTTGTTCCACTAGACACGAGGACGTGAATATGCGGGACATCTTTTCGTTAAATTCTATATCTATCAGATCACGCGGATGCTCTTAGCGTATTCCCAGTCACCCTCTGGAGTTTATAGTCAATCACGGCTGTCGCACGAGTCAAAGCCTTTGCAAGTGCGAAAGGTGGAACCTGTGTGGCATACACCACCGCGCGCTCAGTACGTATCTCATAGAAAGCGGCATAGCATATCTGTGTACATGTCTGCAGATAGAGTATTCAATCTACTACAACCCCTCCCCTACTTCTCCAGCCAACACGGGCTTCCGCATGAACAAACGCGTGTGGCTGCGCGAGAGACCATGTTTGTGTGGCACACGGCTCATCTTCCCGGGTGCGAGGCCTTCGCGCGGTCGATGAAAGGGCGTCACTGGGCCAAGAACTGTTCCCATATCACCATGGTACGTTGTTTGACCTTTGAACTACTTTTGTAGCAAGTGTATGATTGCTCCTTCTCTACACTACAAATTGTATGTCGAGCGCTGTGTATTGTACGCTATATTAGTAGTTCACACACTTGCGCGTACCCGATCTTCCCATGTATTTGTACTGGTGGGCTGATATCTGAATAGTGTTCTCTCACATAATCACGCCTTGTATTGTACTAGTACACAGTCTCTGCTAACACCTGATCTCCACATATATTTGTACTAACGGTGTGGTCTCTGAATAGTGTTCTCCCACATAATTACGCCTTGTATTGTACTCTATAGTAATAGTACACAGTCTCTGCTAACACCTGATCTCCACATATATTTGTACTAGCGGTGTGGTCTCTGAAAAGTGTTCTCCCACATAGTTGCGCTTTGCTGTATTCCCATTGTTTGTAGTGGATCACTGCCACAATCACAGTGAGTACCGGAGGCCAGTTTGCGATACAATACATATCTGCACGTCCCTGAGTTAGTCTAAACTACCTGCTATCCGAAGTTCTGTACATATAGCGTAGTTCAAGCAGGCAGAGAAATAAGCGCAAAAGAAGTAATGTTAGAATCGAGCGCTAAAGCCACCACCACCCCACAATCGTAATCACCTGCTTGTGAACATCTTAGCTGAAGCTATGAGCGCAATCCCCTACTGGTGAATATCAAAGCAGAAGCAATATGCGCACTTAACAACTTAGAAGCAACAAGCGTAATCATATACTTAGAAGTAATAAGCGTACTTACCTACTTAGAAGCAACAAGCATAATCATCTACTTAGAAGCAATAAGTGCACTTACCTACTTAGAAGCAACAAGCCTAATCATCTACTTAGAAGCAATAAGCGTACTTACTTACTTAGAAGCAACAAGCGCAATCATCTACTTAGAAGTAATGACCACATACAACATATATGCAACTGAAAATACGGCATAGACCACATACAACACATATGGAACTAAAAGTGCGGCATAGAGCACATACAACACATATGCAACTGAAAGTGCGGCATAGACCACATACAACACATATGCAACTGAAAGTGCGGCTTAGACCACATACAACACATATGCAACTGAAAGTGCGGCATAGACCAAATACACTCCCAAGTTGCTACTACGGTGATATCACACAGCTGCGATCTATGGGTTCGATTCCCCGATTTCGAAAAGCTTTTTGTGATAGCGTGTTGTCACAGCGCTACTGAGCTCTGGGGACAAGGAGACTCGTGCCTAATAGATTACAGTTTTGTGATACCCCTGTAATAGCAAGTGGGTTAACCACTCCTACTACGGGATTAAAAAACAGGTTTGTGATATCCCTGTAGTAGCAAGTTGGTTAACCACTCCTACTACGGGCATATCCCATCCCTTGCACTGCAAGCAACACCATCGGGTATGTGTATCACAACACAATCACATGAGTATCGGTTTATACCCACAGGCCAACAACGCCAGTGAGATCGCGTGTAGCGCCATGGGCGTGCCGGTAGTGGATGTATCAGGGATTTTCGAAGGGATCAGGCCCTCTAACTACCTAACGGAGGACTATATTCATCTGACCGAGAAGTACGGGCTGAGATTAGTCGACGCGGTTCTTTCTAAACTATATAAAAGACGAAGATAATACCAACTGGTGTGGGTGTGCTTGCTTGTTCTGTCATACGCAATAGCGAGCTTTGTCCATAGAACTAATTAATTCCTTTCATTGTAAAAGTTCATAGATACAAAGAACGTGTCTTTGATTTAGCATGAAAAAGCACGCGCATCTGTACCTGTATACTTGTATTTACCCATGAGAAATTATATATATATACACACACACACACACACACACACACACACACACACACACACACACACACACACACACATATATATATATATTGTGATCGGCCTAGGGGCCCTGGGTACCGTCTAGACTGGCCTAGGGTCGCTAGGAACCGTAGTACCGAACTTTGGAATATAAAGTGGGACCTCT